TAACAGATAAAAAGAAAATATTCAAAAAAGAAGGTAAACCAGAACACAAAATTAGAAATGAAGATAAGAAACCATGCAGGACATGTGAGGATATGGGGAAAGGTGTAAGATACCACCCAGAAGAGAAATGCTGGTTTAAACTAGAGAAAAAAGAGAAACCTGCTATAAGAAGCAATTCAGTAATAGAAGTAGAGCTAAGTACACAAAAAAAAACGAATAGTCATACCATTGATCAGACTTAAAATGCTGCTTGAGAATAAGATAGAGATGATGGGAACATATGATCCAGGTACTCAAGTCTCCTTAATAAACTCAAAGTGGATAAAGATAAAAGATAATAGAGAAGACGTAAACATAATATTAAGGTCTGTCAATGGTGTGAATTATACAAATGGATTAGAAGAATAAAAATATTTAACATAGAAAAAGAGGTAGACATATACATATTTGAAAGAGAGGATTTCGAAGACTTCATAATAGGATTAGATTTAATTCCCATTTTCAAGTTGAGATTGAATGAAAATCTAGAAGTTTCACAGAAAATAGAATAAGAAATAGAAAAACCAAAGATAGGATTAAGTGAAGCCATAAATTGTTCAGTAAATTTTAATGAACATGTGGAAACAGAGGAATTTCAAACAAAGATAGAACATTCAGATAGAGATAAAAAGATTAAGATAGAAAGACTAATAGATAACAATAAATCAGCATTTGCGAAAGAAAAATACGATGTCGGAACTGTTAATGAGTATGAAGCTAGAATTGATTAAATAGTGGAGAAATACTGCAGTAAAAGACCATATAGATGTAATATAGATGACAAAAAAGAGATAGAGAAACAAATAGCCAAATTACTGGAGAAGAATTTAATGGAGGAATCGTATAGTCCTTTTGCTGCACCTATCACACTAGCATATAAAAGACAAAAAGGAAAGACACGTATGTGCATAGACTTCAGAGATTTAAACAAAAACATTGTCCCTCAAGCACAATCATTTCCTTTAATAGATGATACAATAATAAGAGCCAGAAACTGTAAATATTTTACGACACTGTACATAAACTCAGCTTTTTGGTCAATACCACTAAGAATTGAAGATAGAAGAAGAACGGGATTTGTAACGCAAGATGGTCACTTTCAATGGACATGTCTACCGTTTGGTTTAAAAACTTCTCCAGCTATATTTCAACGAATTCTGAGTAACATATTGAGAAAACATGGACTAATAGAATTTTCAGTAAACTACATAGACGATTTCCTAATACACTCACCGACATTTGAAGAACATCTAGACCACATTGAGAAAGTATTAGATGCAATAAAAAAAGAAGGATTTAGATTGAAATTCAAGAAATGTACGTTTGCGGCTAGTTCAGTCAGATATTTAGGACATGTAATAGGAGAAAATACAGTTACACTATTGAAAGATAACATAACATCAATAAGAGATTTCCCGACTCCCACCACACAAAAACAAATCAGACAATTTCTACCACGAATATATAGAAAAGAGCTCAATAATATTAGACCCATTTCATCAACTATTAAGGAAGAATGTAAAATTTATATGGACAGGGGATTACGAAACAGCTTTCGGAAAAACAAAAGAAATGCTATGTTCCCAACCAGTGTTAGAGATATTCGACAAAGACCTTCCAATCAAGATATATACAGATGCATCACTTGAAGGCATAGGCGCAATATTAAAACAAACACAAGAGGATGGAAAAGAAAAACCTGTGGCCTACTTCTAAAAGAAACCTAATGAAACGCAAAAGAAAAAAAAAGCAATATATCTTGAATGTTTAGCTATAAAAGAGGCAATAAAGTACTGGCAACACTGGTTGATAGGGAGATACTTCGAAATACACTCTGATCACAAACCACTAGAAAATATGAATATAAGAGCACGAACAGAGGAGGAACTAGGTGATCTAACCCACTACCTATCCCAATACGATTTTAAAATTATATACGTCCCAGGGAAAGATAATACAGAAGCAGACTGCCTAAGTAGAAACCCTGTGCTAGAACCAAATTGTATAGAAGAAGAAGTGGACTTACTGAAAACGGTAAATTTTATGGAGATAGATGAAATAAGATTAGATCAGATCAATAACATATTATTACAAAAAAAAAAAAGAAAAATTAATAAAGAAAAATGGATTATATTATAAAAAAGTTAAAAAAAAAATCATCTGAAAAATGCAGTATTGACTAAATTAAGAAAGTACACAAGGAATGGTGCCACACAGGGATAACGTAGACAAGAATGAAAATAAGCCCATATTATAGTGCTAAAAATCTAGTTGTGAATATAAAAAAAAATATGTAAAGAATGCGACGTATGCATCAGGAATAAATCAAGAGGACAATATAAATTCGGCTCAATGCCACAATTAGGACCAGCGACCACAGCTTTTAAGATTGTGTCCATAGACACGATTGGAGGACTTGGAAGCACTAGATCGACAAAGAAATATATACATTTACTCGTCGATCACTTCACAAGATATGCGTTGTGACGTATATTCGCGATCGAGCCTCGTCGGGAGATGAGAGACTGACCGGCGCACAACTTACGCGATTCCTTCGCGTTCCAGGCAACCCAGGGATAACATATCCAATTCAAAATAATACCTCTGGTATTGTTGGGCGCCAGGTTCCAAAACGGGAACCACGTATCAATTGTACGGTTGGTCTTCGCGTGCCTACGTTGGCTAACTCAGCTACGGGGCTCTTTCAGAGTAAGGACAACTTCAACAAAATGAATATTCCGGCTTTTTGGGTCAACAATAACCAAAATCAATCGTTTATTTTAATTGCGCCAATTTCGGACGCGACCACGCGGATATAACAAAATCCAAATTGAACAATTTCGAAATAAATAATGGACCCAATAAGATCGCGACTAAAACCACTACAATTGACAATATTAATCTTCGCTTAAGTCCTAATCCGAATTCTACGTACAAAGTTCGCGGTCTGTTCCGCGCAGTCTAACTCTTACAGTTCGCTAAAATACAGAAAATCCAAATTGAACAATTTCGAAATAAATAATGAACCCAATAAGATCGCAACTAAAACATTTCACGCAGTCTAATTCTTACAGTTCGCTCAAATACAAACGTACAATCCGATAAAATTCGATACTTTCGACATTCAATAAATACTTTCATACGATTCGATACTATTCGACATTTTCGACCATCAATAAATACTTTCGAACACTTCGCTACAAATCCGACAATTCACTTCGACATAACTTTCGGACAATTCGAGATATGTTTCAATTACATACAATTTCAATATTTGAGTCAAATCGACAATTTAACGCGATCTAATCGCGACGCTTCGAAAACACAACCTCAAGGACTATTCCGTGTCTCTCGGCAACACGTCCCTAACAGGAACGCGATATAATAAAAGTCGGAGATCTAAGACTCAACATTGCCGAGAGAACTAATCATTCGCTCACAGTCATACGCACTTCGATTTACACAACGCGCGATAAATATGTCCACGATGGGCAGCATATTTATGCAAACACAGTCCCGTGCCGGCCGGCGGAATCTCGTACTCAACACGAACGCGATTCTACGAGTGGGAACATCTCTCACGTGCCTACAGGCACAATTCAACGATAAACGTACAAAAACGCGGGGTGTTACGAGATTTCGTCGCTCACAAAACTTAACAAATCGCTTGCCGAAATCTCTACGTATCTTCGGTCTGGAGAATTAAGCCCATATACGCGGCCTCGGACGAAGTCCGGATTCTCCATACAAATTACCCCGGAAAACAAACGGTTCCGAAAACACGACTCGCGTGGTCGACAATTACCCCGGAACACAAACGGTTCCAAAAACACGACTCGCGTCGTCGACAGTCCAAGCAAGAAGAAAGAAGTTGCCTTCCCTTTCGATCATAATCGGCAGCACCGGAGACTATCATCCTCTCCCTTATTCGCAACCACCGCTGATTGGTCCTACGGCCCCAATCAGAAATCTCCGATCTGACACCACGCGCTACAATTCAAAATCAGTCTTCGCGACAATTCATACGATTCGGGAACAGTGATTACGGGCTGTCCCGCGATGGGCTCCGTCGTCCCCTAGGACTTCGCAACGATTCACCAGGCGTCCCCGGATTCCCAGGTCGCGAGTCTTCGTTCCATTCATTGATAGCGATGGGCCTCCGTCATGAGTTGTGGTGCGTTACAGGTGCTCCGTCGTTCGTAGGTCTATGTCACGCGGAATGAGTAATAGCTCCCTGCTAGTTACTCGGTACGCGTAGACCAGTTCATGTAGCTCGGGTGATAGCGTGCGTAGAGTTGATCCAAGTCGCGAGGTGATTGGTGCGGTGAGCTACAGCGCGCGCAGCTCGGGCCCTGCCGGCGCTCTGACGTCACTCAGCCTTTCGTCCTCGTTCCTCCCACGCTGATGATCCCTCGCTGATTCTTCTTGAGATTCGGTAAGCCCGCGAATACGATATTCGCGGCATGGGACATAGCAAAAAAATCAAAACAACAAAATCAGAAATCAACCAATTCGCAACTTCGTTAGCCCTTGAGGTGGTGGCTTCTTGCCTGGATTCTTCTCTAATACGCGTTTTTCCGCGTAACACGACAGTTCCCGCCGAGGACCTGACGGGGTAAAATCTACCACGTCACAGCATTTATTTTAACATCAAAAACTCAAATCGCCAAGGACTTTATAAAATTCGTTCAAACTTTGCTGGAAATAGAAAAGATCGGAACAATCTTAACGGATCAATACCCTGGAATAAATTCAAGAAAATTTAAAAATTATTTAAAAGAGAAAGAAGTGCAACTTATTTTTACTGCAACAAATGCACCATTCTCTAATGGACTAAATGAAAGACTAAATGAAACGATAGTAAATAAAATAAGATGTACAATAAACGAAGAGAAAAAGAAGAGAGCATGGACATCGACAGCGAGAGAATGTGTGAATAAGTTGTAACGTATTTCCACCGGAGCCGCCTTGGGACCGTGATTCGAAAAATCACGTCACAAAGTATAATAGACTAGAACATACAGTCACAGGATTCTCACCAGAGTATCTACTACATGGCACAGACACCAGTAACGTACCAGAAGAATTAAGAAGAACATAGAAGACTGGATAACAGATAAAAAGTTGGCATTGGAAAGAACACTGAGATCACATAAGTATAATAAAAATATATTCGACAGAAATAGAAGACACCATGAATTCAACGTGGGAGATTTGGTATTCATAGAAAATGGAAACAAACTATAGGAAAAAGCTAGAAGAACTAAGAATCGGACCATTCACAATAGAGGAAAAAATTTCGAACTCAATTTACAAAATAAAGACTGGTAAAAGAAATCAGGATTCAAGTCTATTCCACGTGACGAAACTAATTCCAAGGTTAAATGATGAGTGTGATTGAAAATTGTGCAATTTTCCTCTCGCAGAGGGGAGATGTAAAGAGAATATACTCTCTTTAAACTTAGCGCGCTTAGTAGGCTGCGCGCGCGCCTCTATAACATCCGCTAGATGTCCCGTCGAGTATGAGATGAAGCGACATCGGGGAGAGGAACCGACAGCTAACAGCCGTATTCATACGGCGGTATTCATAGTCGTTCCTCAAGGGATAAGGGGCCCTCATTGGCTCACTTATTTCGCGGACGCGTTTCATAGTCGAAACTTGAGGGCTCATAATGCCCTCAATTGGCTTCTTCCCTTGAGGTTGGTCGTGAGATCCTTCAAAGCTGAAGCTATTCGAGGTTATACGGAGAAGCTTTGCCAGAACTGTTTGTGACAAATGGAGGAATTTGACGTTTTCTACGAAAGTGATACTAGCAACGAGGGTGAGGATGAGCAACCCAATTATCTAAGAAAACGCTATATCCGTGATTATGCAAATCTTTTAGAGCACTATGAAGACCATGAATTTTCAAGAAGATATCAATTTACTAAAGCCGTTGTAATTGATGTATTGTTGCCTTTAACGCGTGCGAAGCTGGAAAAGCATTGTAATCGAGGACTACCTATACCTCCACTTATACAATTGCTAACAGCCTTAAGATTTTATGCATCAAACAGTTTTCAGGTATATATGCATTCAATTACTATGATATTATAGCTTATACCGTGGTGGTGTACACTTGAATAACAGTAGTATTAAAGTTAATTGGTTTTTTAGATGGTTCATGAAGATCTGCGTTGGTTGAGTCAAGCCTCAGTAAGCCGCATCGTGAAAAACGTCTCCATGGCATTTGCTGAACAGTTGAAGCAATTTATTTGTTTCCCACGAAGTGACACAGGAATCCGTCGAAATACAGCAACATTTTACACGATTGCTCATTTTCCTTCTGTTGTTGGATGTTTGGATTGTACACACATTCCAATTTCAAATCCAGGCGGAGAAAATGCCGAAGTTTTTCAATGCAGAAAAGGCTATTTTTCTTTAAATGTACAGGTACATGCATTTTTCAATATTATCAGACAAGCAGAAATACGAAGAGATGTTTTTGAACTTTATCTTCATGTACAATTGTTTTATTTCAGGTTGTCTGTGGCCCAAACATGGAAATTATGGATATTGTTGTAAGACCTATCGTTCAACACACGATAGCGTAATTTTTGATAGAAGTGCTGTTCGAGCACGTTTTGAAGCAGGCGAATTTCCCGGCGTTTTGCTTGGAGATAACGGATATCCCTGTCGTAAATACTTATTAACTCCAATATTAAATCCAAGTGATGAGCAGGAAATTGGTTACAATAATGCCCATATAAAAACTCGAAATATCATTGAAAGAGTTTTTGGTGTTTGGAAACGTCGCTTTCCATGCTTACAAAACGGTTTGCGAACAGGATTGAAATCGACGTTGGCAACTATTTGTTCTTGTGCTGTATTGTATAATATAGGTTTACGTCATAATGAAAATAACATTCTTGATCAAAATGTAGTTTCCGACGATGTAGACGATGGATCAGTTTACATTAATTCTAATGAAGGAAATTCGTAATTCGCAGTCCGCAGAACATTCGTGAATACTTACTTTTAAGTTTCTGTTTGTTTTACTGTAAATGAACGTATAACGATATTTCTAGTTATGATTTTGGGTAAGACTAAATAATAGATTACGCACATTTACCATTAAAATTATATTTATATCTAATTTATTAAGAAGTACATTTTTCTCCTGTTGCTGCCTGAAATTCCATCATTGCCTGTTCTAATTTAATTTCAGCTAAATTAGCTTCTGTTTCTGCAGTCCTTATTCTAAGTTGATGCAATTCCCTTTGTTGCTCTAGTGCCTGTTTTGCCTTTTGTATGCGTAATTGTTTCTCCTCGTCATCTTTTCTGGTACAATACCTCCTCTTGCAAGTGAACGAAGGTATTGACGGCATAACTTTTTCACTAGGAGTGTTCACAATAGTAGCCTCAGGACTAAGACATCGTTTAGATTTTGTTACATGTGGTGTGATCAACGATTCCTCGAAGCAACCGTCCAAATATTCTAATTCATAATCTATGTCCTCTTCTTTGTCCTGATTATTATCTGCAAACAAATAATCATTGCAAGAATCATTCATGAGCAGACAGGTATTATTCGCATCTTTCATATATTTTTATTTTGTAATTACCTTTATTTACGTATGCAGCTGTGCTATCCCAGGTGCAGGGTAATTCCACATCTGCATGTGGTGCTGCTTCATTTACTAATTTTAAAATGGGATCACATAATTCAGGTACAGGAGGACCGCCTCCTGTGAGTAATCTTTCTCTTCTGAATTCGGTCGTTTGTCGTCTTTTCCTGAAAAAAATTGTGTTTTCTTATGATACGATAAAAAATTATATAGTAGAGTCAATAGTTTTAAACACATCAAAAACATTCAGAAAGAATAGTCATGCAAGGCAAAAAACGTATCTGTATAATTACTTTTGTTTTAAATTTTCCTATAGTTTCCTTAGTTGTTTTTCCGTGCGTATGCCGAGCCCTTGACTATTAAAAGAATGCGCTATCCGAACCCGCGCATCGTTTTTTTCTTTCATATTTACAGCACCAGTTTTTTTATTTTCAAGAATATTTCTATGTTTGTTCACCAACTGCACTAATAATATTTTTTCCGCCTCTATAAAATGTTGTTTGCTACAAGTTGCGTCCTTTGCTGCCATGATGAAACTTAAAAAACTCGTCAATAATTAATAAATGCACAAAATTTTCATCCAACTATTGCAACTATTGTATATACATACACATGTATTGTGTATAGACACTACAGGCGCTGCCATGTGACGCTACACAAATAGCCGTATTCATAGTCGTTCCTTGAGGAATAAGGATCCCTTGTTCCTCGTTTCGCGTTTCATAGACCTTCCTTTACAGTACAAGGAGCCTTATTGGTCTCCTTATTTCAAGGGAGGTCTCGAGCTTCCTTGAGGATACTTTCTGCACTGTGATTGGCTACTTCGTTTGATATGTCTAGCGCCACTAGCGGCTGGTTTTAATCATCAGTTTTCAGTGCGTTTACGTTTTACGTAATCTTTTACGTTTCGACCCTCATTGGGGTCATCTTCAGAAATGTTTTATTACTAGGTAAACATGTATGAACTGTTGAACAATCATTGGTTAGATTGTGTACAAAATAGTAGGCCAAACCTAAAGCCATAGTTAATAGATCAGCTATGGCTCTTTTTAACTTTTGGCTAATCCTGCCTTTACATGTAACACACAAACTCTTGTTGGTTTGGCCTACTATTTTTTACACAATCTAACCAACGATTGTTCATACATGTTTACCTAGTATAGCTAATAGCTAATTCCTGACCTAGTTCTACACGGTCTACTAGGCGTTATCTAAAAGGTCTGCATCGAGAACCCGGAGGGGGCTAGATACCTTCAAAAGGTATTGAACCCTTGCCGAGGTCAACGGGAAGGTGGAGTGCCCCACACACACTTCTTGATCCCTGCATGACGGGAACCAGCTTCGTGCAGCCGCTCCTGAGTGGATCCCTAGGAGTAGAAGGTTACTTCAGCTGGGATTACAACAGATCCTCGTTCTAAGAAGTTCCACCCGTCACAGTATATTAATAATTATTCCCAAACGAACCATTAAACTCAATTACTATAAGTTAATATCGCAAGCGCAATAATAAAATTGTTACTTTTGATATCTATCACATAACTTGATATAACATTAAACCTGATCCCATTTGTCATTTACCAATTAGTAATTTTGTATCCTCCTCTATTTTCCAGAATTATTCAACGACTGAGAAATTTTCCATTATACTTTGTAATACGACAATGGGAATATAATAAACCAAAATAATATTCACTTTTTTCTATCCTAATAAATGTCAATCACTTATAAATCTCATTTGTATGTTTTAATCATATTTTAATCATTTGGTTCCTTATAGAGGAAGCTATGTGACGGAGGAAAATTTGCCTGTCGAGATTTTCATGTCACTATGTTCAGAATGTGCCAAAACGTCGAGAAAATGTCCAGGTGTGTGCGGGCGCGCGTGTGTGATGTGTGTGATGGCCTAAAAGTCAAACATATATAACTCGAGAACAGTTTTAGCTACAGCCTCTAAATTTTGCAGGCATGTCCAGCTCTATAATACGTTCATTGACTATAATTTTCGTCATGATTTAAGCTGCGGCTCGGATTTTATTTCGTTTTCAAATTCCCAAAAAAAGAACGTTATCACTCTATCTATCTGAATCTAAATAGTTCTTGACAAAGAGATTTGTATCCAAGATTGGTTGGTATTGCATTTGGGCCGAATCTATCGAAAAGTTTTGATTTTATGATATTTTGAATTTTTCGAAAAATAAAATTTATCAATATAACTCAAATATGTCTCAAATTTGTCGGAGATCGGCAAAACGGATCTGATTATACATTGTGACGCTCTGGACCACGAAAATGGCCCAGGGTCTCGCAAATTCAGATATCGCAAGTTTTACGGGGAAGGGGGAGGGAAGAAGAAAGGGGACACGGTGTAGAATAAAAAGAAGATATAATCGAAATAAGTAAAGGTTGATACAGAAGAACAAATAGAAAAGAAAATATGATCAGAAATAAAATACTTAGGCTAGAAGACGCAATCAAAATAAGCACGCGTGTACTCGCTCGGGAGCACGCGGTGTCGGAGAACTTTAAGTGGGCTCGTCGGGAAGGAGGGTTCGGGGGACGGAGGGGTACGGTATTGACAAGGGGGACAGGGGGGGGGCTGTCAGCTGAGGAATAGGTTTGGAACAATATATGGGCGCCAACTACTGTAACAGTGTAGCACCGACGAGTGACCCCGAGAGGTCCTCGTTTGTTTACTCGACGGGATTTGGCTAGGCTAGCGGAGGGAGAGGTGAGGGGGGTCTCAGGGAGGAAGGTTCCCGAACGCAAAAATGGCTACTTGAAAATTACCTCGGTGTTAGAACGCAAAAGGGGAAAAGGGGGTGGGAGGAGAGGGAAGGGCTGAGGGTCGTCGGGGAAGGGCGCAAGATACTAAAATTAGGGCGCACGCAATATACTACGGGCCTCGAGTTGGTGGGCGGAAGGCCCGTCGCAAATACGAAAAGAATCACTAGAATGCCGGCCCACGTGGGACGGGTCGCTATGTCCTGAAGGGACCTACAAAATCTACTGCGCAAATGCTAAGGGCGGGGAGGGAAGAAAAGGGTAGCTAGGAGAATTCAAGCACTCAAACGTACTCACGCCAATCGCTCGTCACACTGATAATCCGTAATAATCACACTTCACAGAAAGCACACTTAGATTTCGCTACTCGCACTCACTCTTAATTCACACGCACGCTTTTCAGTCGCCTGGCTCGAAGTGAAGAGATTTCCGGTCGTCCGGGTCCTCGTGGGCCTCCAGGGCCTCGCTGATTGGCTGGGGCTGCTCAGCTGAGAGGGCTACGCGCTTTGGCATTGGTTGGACGTTCCGGCAGGGCATGGCATTGGTCCTTTTCAAATGGCTGTGTTGCCGGACCTTCCAGGGCCTTGGATCGGCCGCACGGCGCTGGCTTTGCCGGCACGCGTGCTGGCTGCGCGCGCCGGTCAATATGGCGGCCTCCAGGCCTGTCAGAATCCTCCTGGGCGCGTCTGCGGTCTCGGAGGGAGAGGGCTCCGCCGCTGTCACACGGGACTTTTTCCTGCCCGCGTGACGGGACTGCACCGGGGCTGCATGTATTGGTGGTGATGGTGGTAGCTGGGCATCCATCCCACGGGCGACTCGATCAGCTGTGTATCCTGCCCATGCCATCCCTGCCTTCCGCTGCCTCGGCGACGTAGCCGCTCTCGCGGTCCATCCAGGGATGCTGTGCTCTCGTGGCAGGTCCACGACGGTGTCCTTGTTGCTGGTGCTGGTTGTTGGTCCTCGGAGATGGTCCTCGAGCCAGTGCCCTACGGGGGAAGAGGAATGGTGGCAGGGTGGGAGGGGTGGAGGGAAGGGATCTTATCCTTAACGTAATGGCTAAAACATCTAAATAAACGCAGTTAACAATACTTAACTATAAAACGCAATACTCGAGGCCTATGGGACCTCGAGCCAGGAGGCGGAGGGGAGTCTGCAGTAACATTTTTGTTACAAACTCCCTCCCGCTTAGACGAAAGCACCGTCCAAAGAGGGTGCTTGAGCGGTCATTCACACGGGGGAGGGAAGAAGGGGGAAAAGGCACCGACTGGGACGAGGGGCTCGACTAGGGTACAGGTGGGAGTAGGGTAGGGTGAAATAGGTACTCCAGGTTTTTGGCTAGTTACCATGTTTAATCTCCAAAAAAAAAGAAAAGGGGTCAACAACAACAAAAATAAACTTTAAATAATATAGCAAACTGAAAAGGCCGTTTCATGGCGTCATAAAAAAAAGAACCAAGCAGGACACAAAAAAAAGAAAGCGGCCTTCCTGCGCCTGTCCTGTCCTGTCCTGAGAGAGAGAGAGTCGGGGACGTAGCCGGGGTTGTCGTTGGGTGTCCGTTATAGGGTGGGGGTCTTCCGTTTCTACTCCTTCCCGATCTGGTTCGGGCAGCGGGCCGCGGGGTGGTTGGCCTTACCGCAGGCCCGGTGCAGGGCGGCGACCTCGGGGGCTCGTGGCGGCCGCTTCTTGATTAGCCCCATTAGTGACACCCGGCGGGGCGCGGGCCTTGAAGGGGGGGACGGTGGTGAGGGGAGCGGCGAGGAGAGGTACGTTTCGCTCCCGGATGTAGTGTCCTCGTCCGTGCCTGCTGGGGGTGGCGGCGTTCTGGTGCCGACTGCCGGTGGTTCGGGTGGCCCAGGCAAATACCCTATTTGGGCCCATCGGGCCTCCCTGGTCCTGGGGGCGGCGCGGCCCACTCGTCTTGGTCCGGGCATTCTGAAAAGGTGGAGGGTCTGTATGTAGGGGGGGGGGGGGGGGGTTCTT